GATAGAGATACTGACGCACCGTGTATGACTTCGCTTCAATTTTCGTTGCTTGACATTCGGCGCTGGTTTGAGGTCAGGGGAGTCAGAGGGGTCGCGTCCAGATCCGTCACACGTTCTTTAGGGTAGATAGGCGACGTGCGTGCTATTGATCCAGCCGGTAAGTGGATGGGCAGCGATGCAGCGTAGGATTGAGGCAAAGCAGGATGACTTGGAAAATACTGTCTAAGGACTACAGTGGCTGCACAAAAGGCGGACCAAATAGACAACTATCGCTTTGTACAGCGACTGGAAGGAGTGGTAGTAAGATGTTTGGGTGACTCTAAAAGATCTTCAAAATAACACCACCAGAGTTCTTGTGCGACCAGAGGAAAAATAAATTCTCCGATAAAATTCAAGTACGGTTGACTCCGAAATTGCAAAAGCACAGTTTCCTGGTGATCTGCGAATGACAGATCCAAAAGATGAACAGTGGTATGGGGAGCTCGCGGAGCCAAATCGAATGATAGTACGTAGGTCTCTGTGAGAATATATCCGAAGATTTAAGGGCGAATAACGCAAGCGGACACTTATTTTGCGACCGCTCGGTTATACGCAGTTCCTTACACAGTAGCTTCTTTGGTTGCTCATGAAGTCGGTAATTGAGCCGGAAGGAAAAGGTGAGATAAGTCCGGACTAATCCGACCCGACAAGACATGATAGGTAAGGATCAGATCGCCCTTGTGACAACGATAGTGCGGCGAAAAAGGATCCAGCATTTGTAATCTCTCGAGATATGGTAAACGTCTCAGCCTACGCACCATCTTTGTGCCAATCCTGAAAACCCGCTCCACTGCCATTGTGTCTTGAGCTAAGCAAGAAGACGGGCTTGGGCGCACTATTATAAGTGGGGTCTGATGAGATCCGTGTAAAGTCCAACAAAAATTTCCCTTGTTAAAGCTCCAAACGATCTGCGGATCATCCACACCAATCTAGACCGCTTGTGGGTAGCTGTTGAATTTTCTTTGGACATGTCCGATGACAGCGTGACACATAAATCGGTCAATTAGGATAAGCGTCGTACTTCGGTAGGCCCTAAAAAGTAAAGCGTTGAATGACTAATATTCCTAAGGCACAAAACCGAGCACTTGGAAAGATTGATAGGTAGTTTCCACAAAGTGGATCAATCCCAGGGCCTATCAAGCGCACGCTGTAGAAGCTGGGAGTCATTCGGGTCACTGACTGTACCCCGAAACCTAAGATCGCCTGCAAACATGTGGGGTGACACCCGCAGCGCCTCAGGAAGGTCATTACCACATCAAATGAACAACAGTGGACTGAAGACAGACCTCCGCGGAACACAACTGAGAACCAACTGTCGAATAGAGACTCTCGAGCCCACCTGAACGTACATTCCCCATATCCTCAAGAAATGCCACTATCCATTGAAGTGACTGCTCGCAGATACCACTTGGCCG